GCCTCATAACTCCCTACCACCCTTAAGAGACATACAACACCATATCGACTTATTACCCGGCGCCACCCTCCCTAATCTTCCACATTATAGGATGAGTCCAAAAGAATATCAGATTCTCCACGATCAAATTGTTGAACTCCTAGAGAAAGGTCACATTCAACCCAGTCTCAGTCCCTGTGCGGTCACAGCTCTTTTCACTCCAATGAAGGATGGCTCCTGACGCATGTGTGCCGACAGCCGGGCAATCAATAAGATCACTATCAAATATCGTTTTCCCAGCCCACGCATTGGAGACTTACTGGATCAGTTAAGCGGGGCTAACATCTTTTCAAAAATAGACCTTTGCAGCGGCTACCACCATATCCGGATCCGCCCAGGGGATGAATGGAAGACAGCCTTCAAAACCAACGAGGGGCTATTTTAATGGTTGGCCATGCCCTTCGGGTTATCAAATACGAAATACCCCAAACACCTTTATGCGGCTCATGAATCAGGTTCTCATTCCTTATCTCCATAAATTCATTGTTGTTTACTTTGATGATATCTTAGTGTATAGTAAAACTAAAGAAGAACACCTCACACACCTACAACTTTTGTTTTCCACACTAAATGACAATAACCTAGTCATAAACCTTAAAAAATGCTTATTTCTAGCAACGGAAATCTCTTTCTTAGGCTTTATTATCAATGCTACTGGAGTCAAAATGGTTCCATAAAAAATTAAAGCTATAACGAATTGGCCTCAACTACATTCTATACGAGCCATACAATGTTTTCTTGGAATAACATCCTTCTACAGAAAATTCATTAAAGACTTTAGTACCTTAGCAAGTCTGTTAACTGATTGTTTAAGAAAAGGAAACTTCAAATGGGATACTGACCAACAAACTAGCTTTGTAACTCTCAAACAAAAACATACCCAAAGCCCTATCCTACAATTACCAGATTTTTCACAACCTTTCGAAGTGGCTGTAGATGCTTCCGGTATAGGAATTGGGGTTGTCTTATCACAAAACCAACATCCAATTGAGTACTTTAGTGAAAAGCTTAGCCCATCCCGTAAAAAATGGAGCACATACGAGCAAGAGTTATATGCCCTAATTAAAGCCCTAAAACAATGGAAACACTATCTCTTAAATCAAGAATTTATACTATTTACCGACCACTTCTCTCTCAAATTCCTACACAAAAATCCATTAGCAGAATGCATGCCCGCTGGTTATCATTTTTCAACGCTTCGACTTTGTAATAAAACATAAAGATGGTACCCTAAATAAAGCTGCAGATGCTCTTAGTAGAAAATGAACCCTTCTGACATTACTAAACAGTGAAATTGCAGCATTCTCTACCCTACCTACAGCCTATAATAATGACAAAGATTTTCATGAAATATGGAACACATGCACAGATCACAATAACTCTGGAGCTTCCATCTAGTTAATGGCTACCTCTTTAAACGAGATCAACTTTGTATTCCACACACATTCTTACGAGAAGCCCTCATCAAAGACTTGGTGGCCTAGCTGGACACTTTGGAAGGGATAAAACTTTAAATTTAGTGGCTACACGTTTCTTTTGGCCTAAACTCCGAAAAGATGTATTTAGTTTTGTCTCAAAGTGTTTTGTCTGCCAAATCAATAAAGGAACTAAACAAAATACTGGCCTATACATACCCCTTCCCATTCCCGAAACAATTTGGGAAGACTTATCAATGGACTTCGTATTAGAACTACCAAGAACTCAAAGAGTATACGACTCAGTCAGTTCTAGTTGTGATTGACCGCTTTAGCAAAATGGCCCATTTCTTGGCATGTAAAAAAACTGCTGATGCCGTCTATGTAGCTAACATTTTTTTCAGGGAAATTGTTCGCTTACACGGCATCCCAAAAACAATTGTGTCAGATAGAGATGTAAAATTTTTGAGTCACTTTTGGAAGACACTATGGAAGAAATTTGATACTTCTCTTAAGTATAGTACTACAAATCATCCACAAACGGATGGCCAAACGGAGGTCACAAACCGCACGCTTGGAAGCCTTATCTGATGCCTTTGTAGCGACAAACCAAAACAATGGGACTTGGCCCTTGCACAAGCAGAATTTGCGTTTAATCACATGCAAAACCGAACCACAAGGAAGTCCCCATTCGAGATAGTCTACACTACACTTCCTAGGCTAACTGTTGATCTGACTAACGTTCCATCTTCTGTTGATTTTAGTTTGGAAGTTGAACAAATGGCGGAACGAATACAAAAGTTGCATCAGGATGTGCACAAGCATATTGAAGACGCTAATGCCAAATACAAAGCTAAAGCAGACGAGAAACGACGGGAAGTAGAGTTCCATGAAGGTGACCTAGTCATGATACATCTATCAAAAGGACGATTACCTATTGAATCTGTGCACAAACTGCAAAAGAAGAAATTCAGACCATATGAAGTCTTACAACGCTATGACTCGAATGCATATAAAATCAACTTTCCCTCGAATTTTAATATCAGTCCTATCTTCAATGTTGCTTATATCTATCTGTACGAAGCGCCAGACACTTTCTGCATTGGCACCATGACTCGAGAACGAGCCTTATGTTAGGGGGAGGGAAATTGATGTAACTACCTATACAATAAGTTAGTTACGGTTTAGTTGTTTAGTTAGCTTGCCTTATTAGCTTGTAGTCAAAAGCCTTTAAGTGTAGCCTATTTGTCTATAAATAGGAAGCTCCTTTGTATTCTCTCAAGCTATTAGAATAAAACTACTCTTCTCTCATTTGAGTCTACACCAATTCTCAAAGTCATCTTAGCCGATTCCGTTGCAACCTAGTGTAAAATGATGATGATCTTCTTTTCTATTCTATCTTAACTGAAGATCCCCATTCCATAGTAGTTAATTTAATAAAGAAGGATTTATTGGAGGCCTTCTGTATCAACCTAGGTTGGAGGCCTTTTGTTTGATCGTAGGTTGTTTTTTGTAGGATGCTTGCTTAATGAAGTTCATATAGTTTCCTTTTTTTTTTAGCAAGATACAAACTTTTCATTGAAAATATGAAAAGGAACAAAAATTGATATGAACTCCCAAGGGGTTGAGATAGAAAGGAAAAGAAAGAAAGAAATAAATAAAGAAAGAAAGAAGTAAAAGAGAGTGAAAATAAAAGAACAAAAGAACAATTACAACTTTCAAATGAAAGCTTCCCAATTATAACAGGCTATGCTAGGTGAATAAGCATTAAAAGAGTTGGAAAGAGCACACCATTGTGAAGCTTTGAACTTGGTCATAGAGGAGTATAGGCCTAAGCAGAGCAAAAAGGGTTTTCCATGAGATGAGAAATGAGAAGGCCCCTAAATGACCGCTAAGTGATAAATGAGGTAAGGGTGCAGAGACAACCAGTCTTTTTCATTTAAATAAAAACTTAGCAATTCTATAAGGTTAAATAAAAATTAAATTAATCATTTGATATAATTGCCATGCTTAGTGTGCGACTCGTCGGTTTTTTTGAGGTTAGGATTAAAACTAAAAAGGATCTTTCCCCGATTCCGTTGCTACCGCGGGCTTTACGCAATCACTATTTATGTAATAAATCTAAAAAAAGGTTATGATAAACCAGGAAAAATTGAAACCAAGAATAGGGATCTTTGACAAACGGGATCCATAATAATTAATTATTTTATTATTTCAACACGAGAACAAGAAAAGGAATTTTTCTGGTGTTGATGTCAAAGGGGCTACTTACTTCCCATACAGATCTTCCTACATCTATATATAAGCACTGGTTTATCGAGAATATGCAAAAAAAACATATTGGATTGTTGGTTCATCGCCATTACTAATGACTAAATTTCTTTCGTTGAAACCCATATTGTGACTAGCATTGTTGGAACTATGGTATGGTTCAACAACTATCCCGATTGAATTATTTGGGCCCACTCGTTTTTCGACGGAATCAGGGATACTTCCAGCAAGAAATATATTGAAGAGTTGGTGCCGGGTCATTTCTTGAGAACAATAGCTAAGGGTCCTGATACTACCACTTGGTTCTGGAACCTTCGTGTTGTTGCTCACGATTTCTATAGTCATACTAGTGATTTGGAGGAGATCTCTGGCTTTTATGGAAGCTTTAACAATTTATGGACTGGTTGTAGCATTAGCACTTTTATTTGTGAATCTTTTTCAGGTTTATTGGTTTTGTAATGAAAAGTATAGAGTTTTGTTACCTTTCCAACTATTACGCCATTAGGTAGGGTTTTTGAACTATTAAAAAGAAAAAAAATAGAAGAGGATTTATTTTCCACATAACAGCTCCTTTCCTCCATTTCAAATCAACTCTTAGAACTCAACTGAACTGATATTCTCATCTGTGCACATCACTAACGTAGAATTAATATTATCTTAATTTTCATTATGTTGTTATACTTAGAGCTTTTTTAATTGTCTAAGTGGCATTAGCTCAGCTTTAATGTTTACCCGAACTATAAAGTACAATTGCTCAAGTTTTAGTTTGTATCATACAAAGATTTGACAATCATTTTATATGGGATCAATCATTTAATTCTTTCAGTTAAATATTTTTCTGTTTATGCTACTGAGTCATCCTACTTCATTACTTGTTACTAATTTGCATGTAAGCTCGTAGGACCTTTGTTAGGCTGATTCTATAGGCCATTACGAGCAAATCTTGGTGATTTTGCCTTGTGGTGACTCTTCTGTTATTTTCTGATATTCTTTCTCTTCAATCAATAGACCGAGGCAATAAGCTATATTTTTCCATGGTCTCTCTTTACCCCTTCCAAGCCTCCATATGCAATTCTATGGTCGTGTCAAAATTCCTGTCCCGTGTCTTGAAGTTGTTAACTGAGCTATGGCTATGTTCTGCTATTGCATAGCAATATGGTTGTATTATTTTTGTCAACAAAAATTATTAACACGCAATTCAACCATTTGATTGATCCTTCATTTTTCCAATGGTAACTGAGGTTTGATTAATTTGCTTGGTTACTGTACACTCAGGCCAACAAAGCCGGCAACTTGGGCAACCAAAAGGGTAGGGTGCTTCAGCCAAGGTATTCCAAAGCAACTTAATTTTCAAATATTTGAATTTATTCTTGATTTGTGTTTGAAACTTTGTGCTTTGCTGCTTGTTGAGTGTTTTCAGTTACTGCACGATGTCGATGTTTTTTACTGTTCTGAGTCCATTCCAAACATAGAACACATCGTGTGTGTGTGTGTGTGTTTTTTTTTCTCGTGCATATTTCGATTGCTACACTGTTCTCAAACATTCTCTTGACATTTTCAAGAATCAACAAATGTTTTCTACTGTTCTGGAACAAATGTTAGCCTGTCATTGATGTCTAATCCTACACTATCTTCTCTTCAACTTCTACACTTTTCGAAATTACGTTGTTTCTTGATTTAATGATAGATGTGCAACATTTTTAGAAATTGAAATATACAACCAAACCAGCCAATAAAAAGCCAAAAAAGATAGACATTCAAGAGGAAAGCTAAACAATAGACACAAAAGCCTCCCAATTAGAGCAAATCATACTAGGAGAATAATTTTCAAAATGATTGAGAGCACACCATTGAGAAGCTTTAATTTAGCAATGTTGAAAATTCCATAGCCGATCTTCCTTTTCCTTCAAAAATCCATTGGTTTCTCTCGAACCGTAACTCGGAAATAAGGGCTTTAAGACCATTCATCCAAAGGAGGCTCGCTTTTGGAGGCAAGGAGGGACCCAACAAAAATCGACCAACCGACTTTGGTTATCAGTTTTGATCAGTCAGCTTAGTTTTGTTGATCCTTGTACACCCCTAATGCTTTATGTTTTGTGTTTCATCAATGAATGTTCTCTGTACTACTGATCAATTTTTATGTTTTTTCATCTCTAAATTATCTTCTCAATTTATGGAGTTTCACTTTTTGATGAGTTTGCTAATATTCTGTTTTTCCACTGCTTTGAACTCACCGCTGATGTAGGAAATCAATTCCAAAACAGTCCAGTACATTACCCAGACGTAAGTAATTTATTTTCCTGTAAGTTACTATTCTCATTTTTTTGGTGATCTTTTAATTGGAAGATTTATATAGTCTCTCTATAATCATCATTGAGGTGTTTTTCTTTTTGATTGGAGAACTTTTTGTAGACTCAGCTTCCTTTTGTTGGCCTGTGTTTTTATGCTCTTGTACATTTTTTCATCTGTCTCAATGAAAGCCCGGTTTCTTATAATTATATAAAAAAAAAAGATTTATGTAATTTTACATTTTTGTTGTACTTTAGTTCTGATTAAGTAGGCGGGCTTGGATGAGCAAGGGAGCCTCATTGCTTTTATTGTGAGGTGAGGAAGTGACTGAGGGGATAATTGGAGCTTTTATTCGTAATGATGTCCCATGGATGCAGAAAGCTAGATGTTATAGTTCAAGGAATAAGTTTTGATCACTATTCTCAAGCACAGAAATTATTCCTTCAGCTAATTTTTCTGATGATGGCAGAAACTCAGATTCGAAGGACAAGTTTGAGAGGGAAATTCTCCATTTTGTCTATTTAGTATTGTTAGCAAGTGCCTGAAGTTATTTTCTAAGGAGTTCAAAGGGATGGTTTTTGGTCTTGTTGAAAGTAAAGTCGTGGGTGTTAATGTTTTGTTAGGATCATTAGGAGAATTTGGGGCAATATTTTAGGGGGCATTTAGCTCACGTATTGGATCAAGTCTAGTCTTTTGCTACACATTTAGTTTTACAGATCACAAATCCACTATGGGACATAGGATATCTAAAACCAAGTTTCTGTCACTCTTCCTGAAAAATTCAAATACGAGTGGCAAAAATTCAAGTTGCCCAACCCTAGGCAACACAAACCTATGACTTAATATTTAGGTGATTGAATCACTGATTGCTAGGTCAAAACAAAAACGAAGAAAGACCTATCAGAGAAATATATAGATCACAGGAGAGAATGCACAGAGAAGTTTAAGTGGTTCAACTACAATGTGTAGCATTGTGGAAGCACCAAAAAACTCTAGCACTATGGAAGAACCAAAAAGATTCGTTGAAGTACGAAGAAAAAACTTACAATGATTCAAAAAGTCTCGCACTCTAATTGGTACAACTTAGTTTTCAACAAAACGCAGCATGCTTAAATCAATAGAGATTGAATAAACACTAACTAAAAAACAAAACTCTCGTTAATTATGCCAGCTCATAAACTTTCCTTACCATAAGGAGTGCTAAAATTAGTCATTCAGATATTAATATTTCAATTTTCCACCTCGATATTATCCACCTTTCATAGTATCTTCTGGTCATCCATTCTCAGTTTCATATTTTAAGCTAATTGGTAGAGAGAACCAAACCTTAGTGAGCATAGTATCTGCCTTGCGATTTGTGTTAAATTTTCAACCTTGAAGAAATGTTTGATCCTTTCATGAAAAGTTTGGTTTTGGCAGCTGTACATCAATGTGCTTGGTCCTTTCATGAAAAATAGTTTTGTCTTTGGAGGGGTGTATAGTACTTTGACTGTCACACCATTTAGTGGCTGGAACTTTACTAGTACATAGCTATTCCACAATTCCCTTTAGCCATAGGGACTCCTTATTACTTAATAGCTTCTGTCAAAGACATACACTTGAGTTCAACCACAACTGTAATACGGATTTCTAGCTCATTGTGTTGTCCAAGAACTTGAACACCTAGCTTCTTACTGACCTTCTTTTTCCCTGGTTAGTAGAATAGTCACAGTTCTCATAACCACAGAGTTCAATTTTCTAAGGTCCTCGTTTCTATACACCAGAGCAGACAATGAAATTCTATTCATAGCTCTCCTTCAACCAATTGACGCATTGTTGCACATTTTAGAAGTTTTTCTTGCTTTCTTCTTTTTAATTTTTCCTCTTTTCTCATGCCACGTTCTAGTCTTTTTACGAAGCTTGGGAAGTGAAGGTGTCCAAGAAGAAGCTTGGGAAGTGAAGGCGTCCAAGAACAAGAAGGACATTGCTGAAGACTGGGGGGAGGCTTTGATTGTTGTGCAGTTCAATGCTTTTGTTTGGGCCGTTTCCTCCCTCCCCTTTTGTTGATAATCAAAGCTACTAGTAGACTTGGGTTTTTGGCTTTTTTTTTTTAACAGAATAATATGCTATCTTCTCATTTTTTCTATGTATTCTTCCTTCTCTTATCAAATTCTGTTGCCTGTTTTTGTTTTATTATTATTATTTTTTTTTGGTTTTTACTCTTTCCCTGCACCAGCGTCTAGTCCTTGAACTAAAGTTGGATTGTGATATGAAGGCACCCGCTCTGAGTTCCCGTTATGATGAAAATTCTTATTACAAATCCTTGGACCTTCCATTCTGTTGGACTTTTTTTTCTTTTTTTTTTTCTATGTACTGTTATCATTTTATCGAATCATGTTGAACCTTTTGTATGTGTGTGTTTTTAATACTCTATTCCTGTGTGTTGCACTTGATCTAAAGTTAGATTATGATGTAGAGGCATCTGCTCTGGGTTTACGTTACGATGAAAATTCGTACAACAAATCTTTGGACCTTCAATTTGAAAAACGACTAGAAGCAGTTAAAAGGTACTACTGCAGGACTGTTTTCTTCTCTTAGTTGTTTTCTTCTCTGTCTCTCTGTCGATGTCTGTAAGTAGAAGGCATTTCACGCTCATAAAATGCTTTTTCAGTGCTTTTAAATAATGGATGATCAATGCCTGCCAATGTCTTTTATGATCACATTCTACTGAAGGGACTCAACATTTCCGAAAGCTCTTTTTGTCTTGTGAAATTACTTTCTTATCAAAAGGAAAAAAAAAAGTGAAGAAGACTTTTCGTCACATGGTGTATGTTACCCTCTCTTGCTCAATAGGGGATCTGTATTGTGTAAACCATTCAGCTGATTTGCTCTTGTAACAGAGGCTCTTCTTGATGTAGCCGTGTGGCCTTGGGTAACTTGTTTAGTCTTTTAAGTTTAGATTATATTTGTAGTTCTTTTAAAGGACCCTTTTACTGTTTAGTAACTTCAAGTTACTACTGTTTGTTAGCTATTGTTAGTTACTTTAGTTGCTGTTAGTTGTAACCCCTATATATATAGGGTACTGTTTCAATTAATAAAAACAGATTGAGATTTTCTCTTACTTCTTGAGTGAGTCTCCATCAAATTGGTATCAGAGCAGAAAATTTCTGGGCAATCTGATGGCCGGAAAGAAACCTACAGCGGGAGAATTTTCTTCCATAACCAGCAAAGAAACGGAACATTCGTCCGTTCTCTCACCACGAACGATGACCACACGCTTGCAGTTGGTCGAAACTGAAGTTAAAGATTTACGGAGCGATGTAGGTGAGATTAAACAGATTTTGGGATTGATTCATCAGCAGCTGGAAACATTGAATGTAAACCAAGAAACAGTAAGGAATAATCAATTCCCGCATCCAAGAACCAGTCAAGATGTTCGGATTGGGGATCGGCAGGGGATCCAAATTCAAGAAAGACCAGTCCCACCTCCAAGATKTCATCAAGAACGAGGTTATGAAGCCAATGGGGGTCCAAGATTACATSAAGATCCTCCCCAACAGCAAGATGTTAATCATAATCCCCTGTTTCGAGGTGGCCAAGACCCTTTTYTGGATTTTTCCAGCKATGAGGAAGATGATTTTATAGCAATGGAAACCAAYCAGCGGGGTTTTCAAAGAAGACCGTTTAGACAACAAGACACACCAGATTTCAAAATGAAGGTGGATTTACCTACATTCAGCGGAAAAATGGAGATCGAGGGCTTCTTGGAATGGATCCGCAATGTCGAAAACTTCTTCTCTTACCTTAATACACYAGAGGATAAAAAGKTACGTCTTGTTGCTCTCAAACTTAAAGGAGGCGCCTCTGCGTGGTGGGATCAATTAGAGCTTAATYGCCAAAGGTATGGTCGGYGCCCTATTCGAAGCTGGGARCGAATGAAGAAGTTAATGCGTGAAYGATTCCTTCCCATCAATTTTGAACAGATTCTTTATAATCAGTATCAAAATTGCCGTCAAGGAACCCGCTCTATTGCTGATTACACCGAAGAATTCCATCGGCTAGGTGCAAGAACCAATCTTTTGGAAAGCCGCAATATTTAGTAGCCCGATTCATTGGAGGGTTGCGAGCTGACATTAAAGAACAGATTTCTGTTCATCCTATTGGTTACCTCAACGAAGCCATATCTACTGCCACAACAATTGAGGAAAATATAAACAATAGGTACAAGAAGACGTATGCTCGTCGGACTGTGTGGGATCAAGGTGGAATCTCCAAACGGAATACATCCGCCTTGGATAAATCTTCTATACAACCAGCTGACAGTTCTTCTAAAGGCAAGCAAATAGCGAAGGACACTCCTATAGAAGATAAAGGTAATGATACAACTATGGGAAAAAAGATAACTAACACCTATAATCGCCCTACTTTGGGCAAGTGCTTTCGTTGTGGGCAGGTAGGACATCTCTCCAAKGAATGCCCCCAAAGAAAGGCGATTGCGTTTGTCGAAGWGGATGATCAATTGGAGTGTAGYGAGGAAGATCTCCAAGACGATGAAGTGAGCTACCTCGGTCCTGATGAAGGTGATCCGATTAATTGTGTCATCCAAYGCCTTCTAATCACCCCAAAGGTTGAAACTGTCCACCAACGACATGCTTTATTCAAGTCTCGATGCACCATTCAAGGTAAAKTTTGTAATATCATCATTGATAGTGGGAGTACCGAAAATGTTGTGGCCAGTAAACTTGTTACAGCCCTACAGTTGCCATTAACACCTCACCCGAATCCTTACAAAGTTTCTTGGATCAAAAAAGGGGGGGGAAGTTCAGGTAACACATACTTGTACGGTACCCTTGTCTATTGGGACAAGTTACAAGGATCAAATTATATGTGATGTGTTGGATATGGATGTTTGCCACATCCTGTTGGGCCGACCATGGCAATATGATACCCAAACGATCCATAACGGTCGCAGTAATACCTATGAATTCCTTTGGATGAGAAAAAAGGTCGCTTTACTTCCTATCCCTCCTTTATCTCAGCAGCCTTCTAAAGAGGGTCTGCACAAAACTGGCACTTTGTTTACTCTGTCTTCTGCCAAACAACTTCTCCTACATAAGGATATGCCTATTCTGGGGTTGGTGGTTAAAAGCTTTGGCACATCAAACCAAACATACTCCATCCCTCCTGAGGTGGAACATTTGTTAGGTGACTTCAAAACTATCCTGGAATCTCCCACCGACCTACCTCCTTTAAGGGATATTCAACACAATATTGAGTTCTTTCCCGGAGCAACCTTACCAAACCTTGCTCATTACCGGATGAACCCATCCGAATATAAAATTCTACATGACCAAGTCCAAGAGTTACTTGATAAAGGCCACATACAACCTAGCTTGAGTCCTTGTGCTGTACCTGCCCTCCTTACACCAAAAAAGGATGGTACATGGCGCATGTGTGTGGATAGTCGTGCTATAAACAAAATAACTATAAAATACCGATTTCCTATTCCACGAATTAATGACCTGATGGATCAACTTAGCGGCGCCACCATATTTTCTAAAATAGATCTTAAGAGTGGATACCACCAAATCCGCATTCGGCCGRGGGATGAGTGGAAAACGGCGTTCAAGACAAATGAAGGCTTATTTGAGTGGCTTGTTATGCCATTCGGCCTATCCAATGCCCCTAGCACCTTTATGCGACTCATGAACCAGGTATTACTCCCTTTTATTAACAAATTCGTCGTGGTTTACTTTGATGATATACTGATATATAGCCACGGCATGTCCGAACATATACCACACCTCCAGCGGGTTTTTTCCGTCTTAGCCTCTAATCAGTTAGTCATAAACCTTAAGAAATGCATTTTTCTAGCCTCTGAAATATCCTTCCTCGGCTTCTTAATAGGACATAACAYAGTAAAGATGGATCCCCAAAAAACCCAAGCCATAGTTGAATGGCCAGAACCTAAAACAATTAAAGAAGTCCAAAGTTTCTTAGGGTTAGCTTCCTTTTACCGAAAATTCATCCAAAACTTTAGTTCACTAGTAGCACCATTAACAAACTGTCTTAAAAAAGGACCATTTGTGTGGGGACACCAACAATCAGAGAGCTTCAAACTCATAAAACTAAAATTAAGCAATAGCCYCATTCTTACCTTACCAAATTTTGACCAACCGTTTGAAGTCTCTGTTGATGCTTCGGGTATTGGCATAGGAGCCGTCCTTGCCCAACATAATCACCCTATAGAATATTTTAGTGAAAAATTGAGCCCATCAAGACAAAAATGGAGTACATATGAACAAGAACTTTATGCTTTAGTAAGAGCCTTAAAGCAATGGGAACATTACCTTCTCAGGAAAGAATTTGTCCTTCTTACCGACCACTTCTCTCTCAAATTCTTGCATACCCAAAAGTCCATCAGCCGTATGCATGCCCGTTGGTTATCATTTTTACAAAGATTTGACTTTGTCATTAAACACACTTCGGGAGAAAGTAATAAGGTTGCCGATGCTTTAAGTCGAAAGCATAACCTCCTTSTGTTACTTAAAGGAGAAATCGTGGCCTTTGATCATCTACCAAACATTTATGCAACCGATTCGGACTTTAAAGACATTTGGCATCACTGTACAAGCCACTTACCTACAGAGGACTACCACATCCTTAATGGTTACTTGTTTAWAGGCAATACATTATGCATCCCTCACACTTCCCTTCGTGAATCTATTATTAAAGATGTCCATGGGGGGGGGGGGGGTTAGCAGGCCATTTAAACCCTCACACTTGTTAATACACGTTTTTTTTGGCCACAACTCCGAAAAGATGTTGCAAACTTTGTTCACAGATGTTATATTTGTCAGTCGTATAAGGGCTCTTCCTAAAATACAGGGCTCTACATTCCCCTACCAATACCACAAAATATTTGGGAGGACCTATCTATGGACTWTATATTGGGTCTTCCCAAAACACAACGGGGTTTTGACTCCATTATGGTGGTGGTGGATAGATTCAGTAAAATGGCTCATTT